AGCTGATTGCAACTTTAGAAGTTATGTGGGATGAGATGGCAGATCTTACCATATGCCTGCCCTCCTCCAACCTCTACCCATATGATTGTCGACTGCAATCCCATTTTCAGTGAAAACAGGAAAATGCAGAAAAGAAGTAGAGAGAAATGAATCTTGGACGTCTCTAGCTAACTATTGCTGTTGGCAATCTCTGGGTGATCTGTGGGAGGTCAGTAGTCTATTTGTTAAAGTGCTGATTGAAACTCTGGGACACCAGTTCTTTCCCTTAATACAAAACTAATTTTGAGCCAAGTCCATTTAAGACCTTTTGAAAACTGACTCTAAAATAGCATGTGATATCTTGAGGAAAAAATAAACCATGATTTAGTAAACTAAATGATCCGTGGAGTAAGAACTGCTTTATATGGAGTTCTTACAGAAAGAGAAAGCACAGATGATAAAGCGTGGCCAGGAAAAATCCCTGGCACACTCATGTGAGTTCCAGCTTGAAGTGGACTTTTCAACATTCATAGCGCAGTAAGGGTTTGCTGCCCACCAGCTCTGGGAAATGGGTGGAAGTATACTTGCCAAGCTCGAAAAAGAGAAAGTCCACTTACCCGATGATACTGTAGGGGAAATTAAAGAATGTTGATGTCATTTCACAGTGACCACACAGCATTTCGTTGTTCCTTCAGATCCATTTTGCCATAGGCAGGTTGCCAATTCACTTGAATGATGAACAGTGCCGTCTAAGATTTGTCTTCAGTTTCATTGATGATTATGCTGATGGTGAAAATGATAATGATGATGATAAATAGACTACAGTAAAGAATGCCTCACAATAATGAGAATTTGGCCATAGCCTGAATGGCAATTGGCTCCCATCCTCTGCTCAGGCCCTGTTCTCAGCTCATTCATCTTGCAATGACTTGACTCTGAATTTTATAAAAATAAATTTTTTTGGACTTCGTAGTATTATATCAGGGTTTTATTGTGTAATGACCATGATGATCATAACATCATCCCTTGCTAATGTTCACTCTGTGTACATCGTACTGAGTGCTTCATGCACATTATCTCGTTTAATTTTCACAGCCACCCTGATGAAAATCCTTCAATACCCTCACACCGTACTTAAAAAACCAAACTCTGTACCAGGGCCTCTAAGGCCCAGCACGGTCTGGCCCCTGCCTACTTCCAGTTCTGCCACTTTTCTGCTCCCTCTGCTTCAGCTGTGCTGCCTTTTCCTTGTTCTTGGAACATGCCAGGCTCATTCCCTCCATAGGGCTTTTTCACCAGCTGTTCTTCTTGCTTAGACTGCTATTCTCCCACATCTTAGCATAGATGACTCCTTCTTGTCATTCAGGTCCCAGATTAAATCTCACCTCCCCAGAGAGGGTTTCCTTGACAACTCTATCTAAAGACCCTCCTCAATATCTCTTTCACATTACCCTGTGTTATTTTCATCCTAAAACCTAATACTTCCTCAAAATTTTCATGCTAATTAATTAAAAAAACTATCTCCACCAATTGGAATGTAATCTTCCTGAGAATTTGTACCAATATGTCCTTTATTTTTATGTTCTCAGCTCCCAGGACAGTGCTTGGCACATAACTGATATTCAATCAATAAATGAATCCCAACTTTTGGATGAGGAAGCTGAAGCACAGGGAGGTTAAGATATTTATCTTTTAAGTCATACACCTCCTTAATGGTGTGTGCAGAATTTACCCAGGTTTAATTCCAAGTTCATTTTCTTAACCATCATGCTACATCACACTGACTAAAAGATTTCTGTACATAACACCTTGAATCATGTAATAGTTAGAGCTGAAAACTAAAGTTAGCTTCCTAAGAAGGGAATCCTGGTTGTGTTTTAACCTACTAAGTTAAATGAATAGGTAAGAGCTTCTACATCGAACCACTATGCATTAGATAGTGACTGCATTTCTCAAAGTGATGAATTTCATGTCTCCACATTCAGGAGAGAGCAGAGCTTCAAAAACAATTCACTTATGTTATAATAACTGTAATCAAGATTGATGCTTTTATTTTTTTCTGGCAAAATAGACACACAATTTAGACTGTTGTAAATATTCTTGATTCTTGATTAAGAAATTTATATATAAGCATAAGAAAAGCAAATAATAAATGCTGTCACTTTTTGTTGGATTTTCCTGCAAGTAATTTATTAATAATTTATAATTTATTTAAAAATATGTGATCTGTGTTTGACAAAAAGCACCCAAGTTTACAGGCTTGCATTACGTTTTCAACATGTTTTGAATTATGTGTAAGGAATACATATAATTTCTGGGTACTTCCAAACTCCCTCTTAGAGGCTCACCTTAAGTTATTTCACACACTGCAAAGTTTAATTTAACCATGCTAGCTTTACTTAGTAGTTTAAAAGGAATTAAATTGGTTTCAAAATAAATTATGCTGCAAATAATAAAAATGCTAATAGGAAAAATATTTCATAACATTAGTACTGTATTTCTTGAGGCTACTGAAATCCAGTTATTATTATCATTACAGGCAGTCTTAGCGCCTACAATTGAGTAATTTATGAAACGAGCTTTGGTGACACAGGGAAAAGTGTGTGTGTGTATGTGTGTGTGTGTATGTGTGTGTGTTGTGTGTTGGAGAAGGCAGGGAGAATCTTCCTTTTGTAGTTTTGCTTTCTCTGATTCCACAATGAGATGAAGTTTCTCTGGCTCGGAAATCTTGGGGTGTAACTGTCTCAGTGATTTAGCTTCCCTTTTTGTAACATAGCAAGCTAACAAGATACTGGTGCTGGGATTTATTTGGCATGGATCTCCCAGAGGTAACTCTCATGTCTAAATCAAGAAGCTGGGGAAAGGCTGCCTATATTACCCGGAAAAAAAGAATGGGCTCCTGAGAGCCTCAGGTGAGCCTTACATTTGTCTTTTCCATAAAAATAATGTTACTATTACTGTTTGATAGAGCAGAAATAATGTGTTATTAGTAGTCTGTCTCAGATACATTATAGGTCAATATGTACCTGTATATTTGTAAATTGGCTCAGGAAAAACGAGAAAAAGATTTCCAGTTCTAAACAACCAACATACAAACCTCTTTTGAGAAGATAGCCGTTTCCTAAGTCGGAGGCTGCTTATAATCACACGTTTGACACCACGAAGTTTGTAGCTGGTGAATGTTTGTGGCTTTATTATTTCTTCACCTTGCCTGCCAGTGGGTGGGCTTAGAAACATGCATGGAATATTAAGTTTCTGTACTGTCAGCAGCATAAACATCTAAACTGAGTTTGACCTTGTGCCTCTTGTCTTTGCACAGAATTTACATAAAGGTGTGTCTGAGCTCTTCAAAGAGTGCAAGAAAGAAAAAGATAGAAGTAAGGAAGGAAGGGGAATAAGAAAGAAGTAGGAAGGGAAAGAGGGCAGGAGGGAAGAAAAAAAGAAAGGCTTTACATGACCTAATAATAATTTCCAAGCTATCAAATTGGCTTCCTTGCCTTTATTTTTATCATTCTTGAGTCAATGATAAAAATGTAAATGTAATAATGTGAAATGTAACTTATTCATTTATTTATTCACTTTACGTTATTTTTACAGAACACTTGGCTTATTTTTCTTTTAAAATGTTACTAAGTAGCCTGCAGAGGGTGCACTTGCCTTATTTTTTTTACGTCTTTCCAACCGTTTACTGACCAAAAGAGGACGAATGCTTTAGAAGATTAAAAACTGTTATCCAATGACAAGAGGTGAGAAAGGCACGATTCTTTTCTTTCCTCTGCCAAATGTTATAAATGGAATATGTAAAAGGCATAAGGAATGCAGTCTCTTTTATTTTTTTTTTGCTGGTAGAAGAATCAATTTTGGTGACTTCCTCTATTTATATATTTACATGGAGTTAGGATCATCAAACCTGTGTCCTCCTCCACACACTAATATTTTTTTCAACTTGCTATATCCCTGGGGCTTCCTTTTTTCCTCACTCTTCATGTGTGTGTGTGTGCGCGTGGGAGTGTGTGCGTGTGTGCATGTGTGTGTGCGCGCGCGTGTGTGCGCGTGTGCGTGTGTGTGTGCGCGCGTGTGTGCGTGTGTGGTATTCTTCCCCTCTTTCTATAGCAGTGTTGTCCAAAAGAAATATAATGAAAGCTGCATATATAATTAAAAATTTTTTAGTAGTCACAGTAAAAAAGTAAAAAGAAGCAGGTGAAATTAATTTTTAAATATATTTTATTTATCTCAATTTATCCAATTTTTATCATTTCAATGTATAATCAGTATGAAAATATTAATGAATATTTTACATTTTTGGCGTGTAGTAAATCTTTGAAATCCAGTGTGTATTTTATGCTTACGGCACAACTCGACTTGGACTGGCCATGTTTCAAGTGCTCAATAGCCACATAGGACCACTGGCTACTGTGTTGGACAGCACATCTCTATAGCTTCCTTCTTTCATTCACAGTTTCCGCATCCCTAACCAAACCAGCAGAAAACAGTCTAGTACAAAATGGTGCTGTGTATTCAGGGACACTTTATGCCCAATTATCCAACCAATTTTGATCATGCAGAAAACATGAGAACACTGGCCTGTGTTCCTTCTGAGAGATGGTCATCTACCAGTTCTGAAGTCTTTTTCATAGAATGTAAATAATACTTCTTAGCCAATTAATTTTTAAGTGGCTTATTTCCTGTCTCACAATATAAGGTATAGGTTTTAATAATCAAAAACCTTCAATTTTATTCTCCTGAATGTCCATTTTCAAATATATAATTATGAGTACCATCTATTGAGTACTTTTTATGGGCCAGGGACTGTATGCTAATTGTTTATACATAAAATTCCATTTAATATTCACAGTAGTCCTTTGAGTCAGGTACTCTATTATCCCTCTATTTTAAGTATAAAGAAACTGAGGATGGAGAGAATTAGGAGAGTTGTCCAACATGACCCAACTGACACGGCAGAGTTGGGGTTTCAAGCTGGGTCTGAATGACTCCAAATCCTTGCTTTTTCAACTTTATGCATGGGGTCTCCCAAGTAAGGCGTATATTAACTGCAAATTTAAAATACTAGTAAAGAGTAGAATTCTAGAAATGGCAGAAATCCTAGCATTCCTGTAATCAGCATTTTTTTAATAGGAAAAATCCAAAACCAAACCTGAGGCTGGGGGAAGCTAAGCGGTTTCTCTGTTGAACACCCAGGACTGGAACTCACGCTTCTGACTCCAAGCCCAGTGCTCTTTCCCTTGATGAGAAATGTTCCCAGATTTAAACTGCAGTTTATAGGACCAACAACAACCCTCTCTAAAGAGGAGGCAAGAGGTTTCAAATTCTTCTCAGGGAAAAAAAGAACTGACATCAAAAGGTTGGTGTGGGGTCATTTGTCTCATCATGACTTTGAGTTGGCCTTGATCTTTATTTAGCATTTCAGTTTTATGTTCTGCAACAAGTTTGGCCATGTTGGAGGACCATCCAAAGGTCAGCGAGTTGGCTACGGGTGATTGGGTGCTCACTCAGAAGCCAAAGTCTATTACTGTGCCCGTGGAAATCCCCAGATCACTTCTGGGTGAGTATTCCATCCATTTTCTGGAAGATGTGGGCATTGAAGACTTTTCATGCACTGCTCCATGGGAGTCCATGGCTGGTTGGGCAGCACTGCATTCTGCATGGACCCAAGTCCGTGATGTTCTGGGTGTCCTCCTTTTCTCTCCATCAGCTAATGACCTAGGATTCTGATTTCACTTTCTCACCTGAGGATGTGGTTTGGAGGAGAAAGACTATTTCTGAATTTGTTTAACTGGGCTATTTTTTGCTTCTCTGATTTGAGTACAAATCTCCCCAACATCTGTGACTAAAGTTCACGATGACAATCACAAGACTTTTATTTCTAATATTAGAATAATAGCTAATATTATAACTCATGCCAACATCTATGGATAGGTTTACCCAAATCTTGAATACCCAACATGTATTTCATATCAAACTACAACTATTACTTCTCAGCTTATATTGAATTTGTTCCCTGAGCAATAATATTGTTGAAGGTAAGAAATATCCCCTCTATAACTCATTTAATAAGATACTTCTCTTTGTCTATGCAAAGAAAGACCTGGGTTTGAGTCCCAGCTCTGCCACTTAGCAGGCAGTGATCTTGGTCACATCAAGTAACCTGTATGAGTCTCAGTTTCCTTATCACTAATATGAGAATAATGATAATTACCTTCCTCATAGGATTATTGTACGGAACAAATAACCTATACATGAAAGTGCTTTGTAAACTGTAAACTATTCAGATGTTAGTTTAAGTCACATTGTCACGTATCTGTTAAGTGCATATGTGTTAGGGTGTAAGTGTTTATCATCATTTAGACTTGGACCAGTCTAGGCCACAGTTATTACTCTAGGGCTGTGGTTCTCAACTGTGGGCAATTTTGTCCCCCTGGGGGATATTTGGCAATGGCTAGAGACATTTTGGGGTATCACAACTAGGGAGATGGTAGGTAGAGGCCAGGAACTCTAGTCTAAACATTCTACAATGTCCAGGACAGGACTCCCACCCCCCAACACTGAATTACCTGGCCCATAATGTCAATTGGGCCAAGCCTGAGAACCCCTTGCTCTAGAGCAGCGGGTTCTCAAACGTTAGCCTGTGTCAGTCACCTGTAGGGCTTGTTGAAACACAAATTGCTGGGTCCCATTCCTACATTTTCTGATTTAGAAGGTCTAGAGTGGCATCCAAGAATTTGAAATTCTGGGCTGGCCAGTTAGCTCACTCAGAGCATGGAACTGATCACACCAAGGTCAAGGGTTTGGATCCCCATACCAACAAGCTGCCCCACCCCCTGCTCCCCCCAAAAGAATTTTGAATTCTAAGAAGTTCCCTGGTGATGGTGATGTTGGATCACACTTTGAGAACGATTGCTGAAGCCAAATCCATCAATATGAGTTAGTTGATTTGGTAGACTGCTTTGCTTAGGCAACTGAGAGAAGTATCTTGTTAAATGGGGCAAAATTTGCATCAGCTAGGTGAGGAGTCTGGCTCCAGGCCAAAATCCCTTGTTTGGTCTCTGTGGGATTACAGGCAATTGCAAGGTTTTGCCTGGCAGGCCTCAGGAGGGAGGCTGCCCTCCCCACCCCAGACTTGGTACATAGCCAGCACATTTCAATTTTCTGGAGGGAGTTGCATTTAAGGACTCAGGCCCCCTCCCCCCATGCACATTGCATATCTGCATCCCTAGCCCAGGTGCCTCTATTCAGACACCTCTTTATTGGGGTCCTTTGCTGAGGCACTTTTCTCCAAGTCGACTCAGTACCTTTCTTCTCCTAGCCCTCCTCTCTGTCCCTCTCCCCAGACTGCAGGTCTGTGAAGAGGCAGGAGACTTTTCTGCGGGGCCCATTTTGTCAGTTCCCGTGTCTGTGCCAGATGTTGTCTGATCCTCACCAATTCTGTTCCATGGGGATAATTGGAACATGGGGAGCCAAAGCCTTTCTCTTGCCTCTTGCTTGCATTGTGGTAGTAGTGAATAGAGACCTGATTGTTACTTTCAGTTTGGCTCATTGTTCTCACTGACCACCTCAACACCTGATTGTTAACAGCTGATATTAAGTATTTTCCTTTGCCTGCAGTCTCTCAGCCCATGTGCTGTGAACACAACTGTTATGGTGTAAAAACATCTGGTGTGATTGACTACTCCAGAACAGTGGTTGAGAACCATGCATTGGAATTACCTGGGGACCTTGTTAAAATGTGGTTTCTAATTCTGTAGGTCTGGGATGGGGCTTGAGATTCTGCCTTTCTGAAAAGCTCCAATGTGATGTTGATTCTGTTGGTCCAGGGACCACACTTTGAGTAACAAGACTAAAGTGTCAAGAAACTAACAACAATTTCATTAAGAGAATTAGATTTAACACACGGAGACACANTTCTCACTGACCACCTCAACACCTGATTGTTAACAGCTGATATTAAGTATTTTCCTTTGCCTGCAGTCTCTCAGCCCATGTGCTGTGAACACAACTGTTATGGTGTAAAAACATCTGGTGTGATTGACTACTCCAGAACAGTGGTTGAGAACCATGCATTGGAATTACCTGGGGACCTTGTTAAAATGTGGTTTCTAATTCTGTAGGTCTGGGATGGGGCTTGAGATTCTGCCTTTCTGAAAAGCTCCAATGTGATGTTGATTCTGTTGGTCCAGGGACCACACTTTGAGTAACAAGACTAAAGTGTCAAGAAACTAACAACAATTTCATTTAGAGAATTAGATTTAACACACGGAGACACACAAAACAATTAGAGCAATGCCACTTGGTGTATCAGCTATTTCTCAGAGAAAAAAATGAGGTAATTTTAGAACAGTGGTGCTTAAGCCTAGCTGCACTGGAGGAACTTATCATTTTTCATATTAAAAAAATACTTTTGGAAGCAGGTGTTTATGGTGAGAAGTGAGCTGGATTAGGAGGCGAAAGTCACAGTTGTAGCTGAGTAATTGGCATTCTGAGCTGTGGGATCTTAGAGAACTTAATGTCTACCATCTTGATCCTACCTTTTGGAAGCAGGTGTTTATGGTGAGAAGTGAGCTGGATTAGGAGGCGAAAGTCACAGTTGCAGCTGAGTAATTGGCATTCTGAGCTGTGGGATCTTAGAGAACTTAATGTCTACCATCTTGATCCTACCTGTAATAATGTGGGGTTGAAAACATGTACTCTGCTTTGAAAATATATTGACAATATGCATGGATTTGTTGTCAGTTTCAAATGAGAAAGTATAAGAGAGAGCACCATTCATTTATTTGTTCATTTAAAATATTTATTAGGTGCTTACTCTGGGCCAAGTACTATTCTAGGTGCTGGGGAATACATCTGTGAACAAGACAGACACAGTTCCCTGGTCTCACGGAGCTTGGAGTTTAATGGTGAAGACAAGCATCAAAGAGACAATAATAAGAGTGAGGTTTATGACAGGGGAAGCATAGAATATCGTGGGAGCTTATAGCAGGTGAATGACCTTCATTTAAAAGTCAGGTAGGACCTCCTTAAGAAAGTGATGTTTAAGCTGAGATCTGAAGGCAAGGGCTCCAGGCACAGGGATGATGAGTTCAAAAGCCCAGTGATGAAAGAGCACAGTGATCAGAGGGTGTTCAAGTATGGCTAAGCATGGAGAATGAGGGGGACCATGGCCCCATATAAGTTTGGAGAGGTACACTATATTCAACAGGACACATTTGCTTACAGGTTGCAGAAGCCGACTCATAGGAACTTAAGTGTAAAAGAGAAATTGTTGGCTGACTGAACTGGGAAGTCCATGGTGGCAATGACTTCAGGCATGGTGAAATGAAATCGATAAGCCTGTCTTTTTGTTTTCTCACTCTCCTCTACTTCCTTCTAAGTGCTGGTCTTAATCTCTCCCATTTCAGGAGATCTTCCTCCATTGCTTGGGAAATGACAAGGTATAATTACAGACAGCTTAAGGTTTATAGCATCCCAATTTAGCTACTGCAAAGAAAAGTGAGGTCTTCTTTCTTCCAGAATGCTTGTAGGATCCCAAGTAAGAACTCTGATTGGATCTCGGACAAGCACCATGTACAGCCCTAGGCAATGATTGTGGCTGGGGGACAAGAGGAGTATTGTGATTGGCTGTCCCACCAAAATCATAAGAAGGGGGAAGGGATATTACCTTAGGGGAAAAGGAGTTGCAATTGTCAGAAAAAAAAGCAGTAAAGTGATGCTGGGCAGACAGAACCAAAACATATTCTCTTAGTATCTAGTGGGAATTTGGAGAGAGTATGCCTGCTATGGTAAGACCTCGGACTTTTTCCTAACTGCAGCTTAGATGATAAGTTTTGTTTTTGAACACGTTGTTGAGCTATCTATGAACAATATGGTAGCAGATAAGTATAAGAATATTTCAAAAAGTTCATGGAAAATGGAATTAAAATGTAATATGAATATTTCCGTGAACTTTTTGAAGACTCTTCATATTTGGAGCTTGCCTAAGGGTGATGAGAAGAGCAAGGAAGGAGAGAAAGGCTTTCGTAAGTTGAAACTATTACTATTGTGCACAAAACATAAGGAGGTACAAACAGTTAAAATTTATTTTCAATTTTATTATTGCCACTGCCATTCCTGCTGAGTCAACCTTGAGATGCCTGCTAAGTACCTGACGTGTGATAACAACTTCAGCTCTTTTTTTTTTTTGGCCAGTACAGGAATGGAACCCTGGACCTTGGTGTTATCAGCACCATGCTCTAACCAATTCAGGCTAATAGACAGTTTTATTATCAGTTTGTTTAGGTCCTAGCCTTCTGAGTCCTTTTGAAATTAAACATTTCTTTTATAGGCACTATGGGCAGATATTAAGATATATAGTTAACATAGCAATTGATTTCATTAATTAGGAAGAGGAGCTGTATTCCAACTTAATTAAAACATGCACAGATACAATTTATATAAAGTTTACAGTTGGTCAAAATGGGTTATCCACTAATGTAATAATATTGGAATTAATACTTGTAGAAGTAGGAAGAGTTTTGATCTTTTTTTTTTCAGATTTTACCTCAATTAACA